CGCTCGCAGTTTCGTTTCCTCACGGTCGGCGCGGCCTACAGCAGCCTTGATGACATTGCAGGAAGCCTTGTGTTGCGGCCAGTCAGCTTTCTGGTGAGCTTCTGAGCAGTAATAGGTGATACGGCAGCGCGAGCATCTGAGTTCCTCAGCAAGCTGCTTATTGCAATGTTGGCAAGTGATAGAAATGCCAGCATTGGTGACAGACTGAACCATGCCTGAGGGCTTTAAAACCAAAAGGGCGGTGGGCCTCTTATACTAGTTCATCAGCTGGTTCTTGTTCTTGTGTAGAGTTGGTTGAGAGACTCTTAGCCCTGAGCAGGATTCTTCGATCAAGCTGCCAATCAGGCCAAGATGTGGAACCTCCTGCAATCCCAGCATTACATTGGCCGTGAAGGTAGACAGGCGAATGCAGCGGGATGCAGCAGACAAATAGAACCCGAGCTGCTGGGCGACCTGCTGCCAGCTGTCCCCAGGAATGCGCACACCCGTAGCCTATCCTACTCCTGCTCCTCAGCCTTGCAAGTTGCAGCCTGCTCTGCAGCCAAGCAGGGCTTTGATCTAGAACTTTGCAGCTCAGGCAAGAGAGACTCAGAGGATTCTGCGCCATAGATTTTAGATTCCTGGGAATCTCATAATCCGGAGCACCGTCCGATACATTGTCAAGTAATATTTAGCGAAGCTGGAGGTAGTTGGTCGCCCATGCATGGACATGGCTTGTCCCGGTTCGCTGCAAACCCTTGCAAGCAGCGTAATATTGGCAACGGAAGTGTTCACTATTACCTGAGCGTTCACTAAGTTTCGAAGCCCCGGGCACACAACCAAGACCTCAGCTGACCTACCCAGGTGATAGGCCCAATTGCTACATATATACAACGTTAAACGACTCGAGAAGGGATAGCGCCAATACACAGTGCATGTCCTCGCCGTCGGAATGACACTTCAGGGGTCCCCTTCCCAGCCAATTGCATTTAAATAGGTATGTGGCCGATATCAGTCAGCGGGCGAGCTGCCTTAAAGCTCAGTGATCAGTTAGGTGTAGGTAGTCTGGCACACTTGATTTGTGCACCACTGTTCGGTAGCAGCAATACCCCTAGCTGATCTGAAACAATCTAGCAATGAGGGGATGAAGAGATTGTCGGGCCATGCAATTCCTTCTACCAGTGTTGCTGATGATGCGACAGCAACGTTAGCGCCTGCAATGAGGCCAAGCTTTCAAAGACCAAGTCGGAAGCACCATCCAAAGCTTGGAGCGACAGACGCAGCCCCATCTGAAGTTCAGTAGCTGCGGGACGTGTGTCAATGGCTGCGCTAGCTCATGCACGAGCTGGCAACTGTCCTACTATTGTCGCGACTCCTGAAGTTCGGAGTGGCATGACCCAGACCTCAAACACTGTTTGTAAATTGAGCAAGCGGGGGCTACGACCAGCTGTCCATCAACCAGCCCCCGCAGCTTAGCTGGCAGATTGCCAGGCCCCAGCCCTGCAGGCGCAAGCGGCAGCTGCAGCGCTCATAATGGCGAAGGTCCACCCCTTACCCCCCCCCATGGCCGCGGCGCCTGCGCCGCGGCTGCACTCAGTGCTGAAAGCCCCACACGAGCTGTCCATGTTCAGCATCACCAAAGTTGCAAAAAAGGTGGAGCAGGGGGTGGCGTTCAAGGTGCGGAAAACGTTCTTCTCGCCCGCGACGCAGAGCGCGTCGCTGTATATATTCCAAGAAGAGGGATGGACGAGGAAGACGTGCATTAGGATTGTGGAGCACCCGTGGTTCGAGCGCTGCGTGCTGCTGATGATTGTGGGGAGCTGCCTCACGCTGGCTATGTACGACCCAAAGCAGCCCGCGGACTCGGACTACAATACAGCGCTCAACATTGCGGATATGGTGAGGAGCGTTCTTTGACAATTTCACGCAAACACCTTTGGTTAACATCTGCATGTGCCTGCGAAAGAGCGGTGCTTCATGATGAAAGTATGTTTGTCATGCTACGGCCTTCTAGAAAAAGTATGAATGAATGCTCACAGTCAGCTGCAGAAGAAGCAAGGCATCCTGCATCCCTCGTCAAAAAGTCCGCTGAGAATTGTTTTTGGGTGGTAATCAATGCCACCACCTCAGCTCCTGATTGATTTTCTCCAAATCCAATGCAGGTTTTCAGCATCCTCTTTGCAATAGAAATGATACTCCGGACAATCAGCCAGTGCTTCATCTTTGCGCCAGATGCGTATCTGGCTTCCGGCTGGTAAGCCTTACTTCCCGCATCACGGTCCTTCTACCAAGAGAACCCACACCAAATGCTTTTGTGACCTTCTGAGCTTTCGCCAGAACTCTCTGATGGTTCCTGACGAGTGCATGCTTCAAGTGCTTGTCGCAGAGGCCTCTAGCAACCACCTTGATGATGCCACGCTCTATACATGCAGGCGACGCTTGGATTTTCTCATTGTGACGGTTTCGTTCATCTCCTTTATCCCCGGGGCAAACAAGGCTGGCACGGTGCGCGTTGTTCGAGTGCTCCGGCCCCTGAAAGCAATCAGCAACCTCAGCGGGGCGCGCATGATGGTGAGTGCCCATGCCACTCTTCCACGTTTCAAGGGTAAGCTTCATCCTTGCGGGAATCAGGAGGACGAAATGAGTTGAGGTCGACTGTGGTCCAGCACTGTCCCTGCTACTTTGATTTTGAAGTTTACATTAGCAGGAAAGAACGAGAACAGGGGGCTACAAAGAGGGGGAATGGTCAAGGTGCTAATGAAGCATGCAAGGGAGATGGTTTCGATGGCAGTCCTGAGGAACGCTGCGAGTAGGTTTAGCTGAGCACTTCGTCCTCAGCGGAGGAGACTGCAGGGGTTGGACAATTAGAAGCCCATAACACTCGAGCAGTCCTTCCAATACAGCTTTCCAATACAGCTGACGCCCTTCATCAAGTGGATTTCAGCATCCCAGCCACGTGTCCCCGTCCATACAAGTTCTTCAATTCCTGACATAAGCATCCGGGGAATCTTTGAAACACCATCTTCTCCAAGAATTTCAGTAGGTTTTGCGACAGGCTCGTCAAGATCTTCAGGGGATGAGTCCACTAGCCTGAAGCCAAATTGAATGCATTTGTGCACTCCGTTCAAGATCTCTAGAAGATGATCCCACTTGTTGCGGCTTCCCAGGTGACGACATTGATCGAGTCGCTGCCGTTGATGATGGACGTGGGTATTCTTATCCTGTGGCTGGTGCTCGTCTTCAGCATCATCGGCATGCAGCAGTGGCTCGGCAAAATGAGCTCCAGGTGCTTCGATGCGGTGAGGCGATCCGCCCCGGTCCAAGCCCAGGTCCCTCCTTAAAGTGAACTATAAGGGGCCTCGCAAGCGCAACCTTCATTTCCTCAAAGAAACCGTGACCTGAGATAAACATCCTGCCGATATGGCTGTACTCGGACCAGTGTCCCGCTCTAGTTGTCTTGTGCAATCGTGCGGTGCAAAGCCTTCGCAGCTGCTGACACCGTTCGGCGCAGGATATCTGCGGTAATCCGTCCAGAAAAGTTGCGATCCTCTGCAGCGGTCCTCTCTTTCGTACGCTCGATCTTATCCCCCATTCGATTTGAGAGGGGTAAAACTCTTTCTTTTGGGCGGCGGGGACAAGTGCACTTCCCGTCGTCCCACGTTCTACCGCTTCTTTCCGATTCGGTCAGCCATTTTGCTCACCCTTTTCCTCCTCCTCCCTCCTTGAAGCAAGTCGAGACGCTCGTACTAGCAACCAGCACCAGCAGGACTGCACTTTACCCAGTATGACTCAAAACATAGCGCGCTTGCAATGCGCTCTGATAGAAGCTCCCCTGAACGGTCCAAAGAGCGACACACTGACACGTGCTATCCTTATTCTGCCTCTTTACAGAGCCACAACCTAAATCCTGATCTGGTTGACACCCCGTGCGTGGCACCCGAACATCAAGGTGGCCACTGTCCCGTGGATCAGGTCAGTAGTTCCACGCGCGCTTCAGGGCCTTGGCTTGCTTTCTGGATCGTTGGAATCCTACAACACTAAGAGTTCAGGCGCGTGGGCGTGTTGAGGGCGGCCTTTGTACGGTAACAAATTCAGACCAGAGGGCTTCTTGTTTGCATCTGGGTGCTCATTAATGTTGCGGGTGCTCAACTGAAGATGCTGAAATGCTAGTCTAGATCACAATCACTCGGAATACCTTCTTCGCAACCGTAGCAACAGCAGGCTGTTCCCCCTATCAACCTTTTCATGTAGCTTGACCTCTCTTGAGTTGGTGAGTGTTGACAAAAGAAGAATGATTCACGTTCTCCAAGACAAACCTTGCTTCCGTCGTATGGCGGTCGAAGTCAGAACTTATATCGCCATGGCTGCTGTCAGTGTGTTTCCAACTCCCAAAACCGCCCGCCGCATCCTAACCGACTGCGCAGGATGTTCTCGATGCTGCTCACCCCGTATGCGATTCGCGGCAGAAAAGAAGCAATCCAAGCGCGGTGCTGTAATCTACTCATACAAGTAGCTCGGTTCGTGCGGTCTCCGCTAAATCTGCCCCCCCCCACCCCCCTGCTGCAGATGTGCCTGGACACGGGCCAGGACCCGGACGGCGGCTACACGTCATTCAACAACTTGGCATATGCCGCGCTGGCGGTGTTCCAGGTGCTGACCATGGTGAACTGGACGAACCTGCTGTACCAGCTGCAGGCGTCCGGCCCCGGCTGGGTGGCCATCGTGTGGTGCTTCCTGCTCATCGCCATCGGCGCGCTCTTCTCGCTCAACCTCCTCGTCGCCGTCATCGGGTGCGCGCGCGAGAACTGCGTCCCATCCACTTTTCAAAGCGTTGTCCTGGGGCTTGCTGTTTTTATTGGGCATTAAGTCGGCTCCCTGTGGTCTGGTTCGAAAGCAGTTTTTGGTGAAAAGATCCTAAAGGACTGTCTCCAAGGCCTTCCAGGCCTCTTGGTGACCTGAATTTTGCAACTCACTTATCGCCGACCAAGAGGCCTGAGATTCGCTACTCTCTGATCGCGGATTCAGTAAGCAAACAGGTTTTCCTTCCCCGAGCGGGCCCTCCTGCTAAAGGGAACGCAAGTTCGGAGCACTCGATCATTTGAGCACCGTTTCTTTGCATCCGGGTGACGACAAGCTGAATGAAGTCTTCCTGGCAACCTACTAAACCGTCTGCAAAGCCAGAAGTTCACGTTGAATATGACCTCATGCGGTCACGCCCGCCGCCCAGCCCGGGCGCTCAACCGCTGATCCCCCTCCCCCAGGTCCAAGTTCTCGCAAGAAAACATGCTGGAGAAGCGGCGCAACTACAAGTCCGGATCGCCCCAAGACGCGCTGGGGCGCAGCACGTCGTTCCAGTTTCTGCGCAGGAAGCTGGGCAAGCGCATGTACCGGATCACCAGGAAATTGACGGCGCCGCTCTGGTGGGACATTCCGTTCAGCGCCCACCTGCGGCGTATCGTGGCCAGCCCGCGCTTCGACAACGCCGTCATGGCCGTCATCTGCCTGCAGACCCTCCTGCTCTCGCTCGACTACTACGGTGGGGGACCGCGCGCGCACCTCGCGGTGCCCACTTCTAAAACTCTTTCTTTGAGAACCCAAGCCGACGATTTGCACAAGGCAGTCGCTTTTTTCTTGTGAGAATGAGCCTGTTGCCGTGCTGGTTTCTCAAGCAGTCTGCTACGAAGGTGGATTCTCTTTCAAATTGGCGAAGGTTGCCCTCTCCAATAGCGTCTTGAAATATGTAGGCATGCCAGCATCCCTGGATCGCGCTGCTCGAAGGAACTTTTGATTGTACGTAAAAGTGCTCGTACTTGAGCAAGTGAACAGTCGTCCGGGTAAACGCTGCCCTTAAATTGTCTTCCTGGGACCACTCGCAACAAAGGTAATGAAAACTCAAAAGATCTGACAGTCATTTTGTTAAGACTCATTTGGCAACGCCAATCGAATCTGGACCCGTGTTGCAAACGCTACGCACGGCACCCACCCCGGACGCCTTGCCCTTGAGCTTACTAAATGCACAGCGGTCAGGAACTAATTGCTATATATCTAGGCATATATGCTACCTATATACTGAGCGGTAAACGCTCAATTACCCAGCCTATTTGAGACGGATACAGAAACAGTCTTTCAAAGCAACGCGCCACACAGCCGCTGACCCTGAGGCTGCCCCGGTGCAGGCATGAGCGAGACGGAGCGGCTGGTGATCCAGGACATCAGCTACGTCACGAGCGGCATCTTCATCCTGGAAATGGTGCTCAAGATCTGGGGCCTCACCGTGGGCGGCTACTTCGGCAGCGGCCAGAATGTGTTCGACGCCATCATTGTCATGCTCACCGTCATCGAGCTCTTCCTCTCCTCCTCCAAGCTCAAGGTGACGCAAGCAGGCCGGCTCGGAGTGTTGGATAAGAGAAGTGGCCTGACTGGACCACCAACTGTTGGGACCTGAGCTGCTGTGCAACTTGATATCACTGTCTTGTCTTTCTGGGCGCTTGTGCTTTTGATCACAGGAACGGAACTGCTGCCTTCATACCTGAGCTGTCAAGCTTTGTTTTGACACTTTCACTATGGTAAAGGCGTGGAAGCCTTGACTGGTATGATAGGCAATTCTCGGCCGTTCTGAAAGAGGACCTTGTCCAAACGGCCACTGCTGCTCCTCCGCTTTGTTGGGCGCCATTTCTTTCTTTGAATTGAACTGTTGGGCTCTGGTTCCGCAGGCGCTGCAAGCGTTCCGGCTGCTGCGTATTCTGCGGACGGTCCGCATCTTCCGCGCGTACAAGAACTTCCGGCGGCTTATGGACTCCATCCTGCACGGCCTGGTCAGCCTGCGCGAGTTCCTGCTGCTGCTCGGCATCTGCATCTTCATCTTCGCAGTGCTCGGCATGCAGGTGGGCACGCATGAAAAACGCTTGCACTCTTCCGCCAACTTGCCAAGTTTCTGGTACGCTTCATGAACGTTGCTGCCTTGGTGGAGCGGGCGTCTGAAGAAGGGTCACAATCTGCCCCTGCTTCTTCTCGCGCACACTAAGCTATAGCAACCGAGAAACAGAGTGCAAAGCGAACGAGTTAAGAAATAGCAGGACATGTGAGCGACTTTCTGATGACGAAGTTCGATCAATTAAATACTTCCTACACCACGCAGATCTCCCTGGATCGGTACATGATCATGAATCCGAAACCTTGGTTAAATTTAAGCTTTAGAGATCCTGATCCTGATCCTGATCCTGCAATAAGCTGTTCAATCTCAGAGGACGCTGGAGGCAGTCCATCTAGTAGAGTTCCATAGCTTTTTACAGGCATTCCACTGATCTTCGCGAAAGAACGCTTCCGTTCTTGACCGTGTTTCTTTTCGCAGCTTGATCCAGCTTGAATCAGGTCGTTATCCGTTCACTTCCACAACCATTAAACCGCTTGTCTCTCCACTTAACCTGTCCGGTTCTTGAGCGTGATTTATTTCCCCCCGCAGCTGTTTGGCGGCAACGTGGCATTCTCCGGGGAGCGCCAGAACTTCGACACGATGTGGATGAGCGTGCTCATCATGTTCCAGGGCCTGACCGCCACCACGTACACCCAGACCATGTGGCACGCTATGCACGCCGTCGGCTGGCCCGCGGCCGCCTACTTCGTCGCCTGGATGGTCGTTGGCAACATCGGACTTCTCAACCTGGTCAGCCCGCCCCCGCCTAAGGGCGCTCCTTAAGAAATACTCCTTGCTTTTACTGGAAAACGTGCAGTTTCTTGGTGTGATTATGTTTGGACGTCAGCTCTGGAACCAGTCCGCTCCGCAATCTGGCGCCCGTTGACTTCGACCGAAGGCTCATGAGGGTTGTGACACCATTTCCTTGCTTCCGTCATACCTGACGAGGGACGTCAGATATAATACTGTGCGCTGAGCAGAAATGGCCCGTTCGCGGTGCAGCTGCTGGCTATCATGATTGACCACTTCAACAGCGACCCCACCGAGTCCGACGGCGAGCGGAGCATGAAGCGGATGACGGACGCAGGGGACGGGGGCGGCATCTTGTGAGCACGCAAAGAACTCACCTTTGCGGAACATGACCCGACGAAGGCTTACTTAACACAACCTTTGTCTTTCAACGCGTAGCTTACCTGACTATCTAGCCGAATTCGTTTCCTCGAGTGCCGCAGCCCCTTATCTGTTCTTTATTGTGTGGACCACTGTCACATGTTTCCACGTGCTTTACGCTTCTACCGCTTCGCGCTTCTTGCAAATTTTTCTGTTCCGAACTCATTGCGAGCCGAGACATTCAAGCCATCTTCGTTCCCGACCACTTACGAGAAGCCAGGCTCACCGCCGACCTCCCCCCGCGCGTTCTGCAGCGGCATGATCGCCAAGCGGCGGCAGCGCATTTTCGCGCACGAGGCGGAGCGCACGGCGGCGTGGCTGCGCGCGGTGGGCGAGGAGTACGTGCCCAAGAAGAAGCTGTCGTTCATCGGCCGCTTCAGCTCCACGGTGACCAAGCTGCGCGGCGTCAGCTCGTTCATGCGCAAGAAGAAGTCCGTCACCTCCAGCAACAACAGCTCCATCACCTCGTCGGCCGCGCCGAGCGTGCACACCAGTGTCAGCAGCCGAACCCAGCGCTCGGTCACGGGCCGCACCCAGGTCGCGCGCTCGCGTCAGTCCGTGACGGGGCGCAACTTCCTGTACGCGGCCGCGAACGCGGCGGAGGCGAAGGTGGAGGCGAAGAAGAAGGAGCGAGAGGAGGCGGAGCAGGAGGTGTCGCCGTGGAAGGCGGTCGCCGCGAAGATGGGCGTCGAGAAGGTGAACAAGGCCAAGCCCAAGTCCATGGTGGCCATCCTCGCGGCGATGCAGCCCAGCAAGACGGGCGGCGATTCGCCCACGCGCGCGTGGTCGGTGGGGAAGGATCTCTCCGTCAGCCGCCGCTCGGCGTCAGTCGTCGGGCGGACCATGCTCTCTGGGGCGACGCTATCGCCGGCCTCCCCCGGGGCAAAGCAGCGGCGGGCATCCAGCATGCTGCGCCTGCAGGTGGACGCCCCGCCGGGCCCGGCAAGCGGCCCGGCGAGCCCCCCCGACCTTTCAAGCCCCAAGAGCAGGTTCCACGCGCGGCGCGCGCACTCTGTCGCGGACATGTCGGCGCTGCGGGACCGCCTCGTGGCGCAGGCAGCCGCTGACAGGCCAAACGACACCTCACATCCGACCGTATCGTCTCACCGTGCGATCGACAACGATGGGGAATCCCCTTGGATCGGCAAGCCGCTGTCTTTGGGCAATTCTCCAGAGCCGGAGGCAGAAGGCGCGAGCGAGCGCGAGCCGCTTCTGCCGCATCTTACGGAATTCAAGATGCGGAAGGCGGGCGCGGAGGACGGGTTACAGGGTTTGGTAACGGAGCCCGCGCAGGCGGCCGCGCCCTCCGCGATGCGCGGCGGCATGTGGCGCACGAGGTCAATGCGGAAACGAGAGACGCGGGGCAGCGCGGAGGAAGATATCGACGAAGAGGAGTGGCGGAACCTTCCGGGTGAGATGACGGAGATCTTATGCAAATCCATAGTCTTTTGATTCCACGCAGAGCTGCTCAAATTCGATGACACAGGCCACAAGGGTCAGTAAGCAGAGCCGCGCTTGATCACGAACGGCACCACCGGCACCTGGACGTCAGTGTCAACATTCAACGCTCTCATCCATCATGCGAGGGTTCTACTTGCCGTGCCTAAGGGAGACGAGTGTCAAGGATCTGAGGCTGACCTCTGACCCTAATCACACTTCCAAAGCATCCGTCATGTTTCTGTACAGCTCCCAAACAAGCTTCCAGCCACCCATACTCGCCATGCCTCCTTGCCCAGAAAGCCTAGAAACGCCTCCGTGTAACAGACGCCCGCCTCCCCCGCGCTTGTCCTGACGCACACGTGGCGCTCTGTGGCAGGTGCTTGCATGCCGTCCAAGCGGCAGCTGGCGCCGCTGCTGTCGTGGGAGGTCCTGCCGCCACCTGTCCCGGGCGACCTCGTGCTGCCGTACGATCTGCCGGACGAGGTCGAGGATGAGCTGGTGGTGTCCAAGGTGAGCACCGCGGACGCGGCCGCGGCCGCAGAGGCGCTTGTGGCCAGATCAACCGAAACGTTCTCGCCGGTTCGTCCGTTCCATTCATCTGTGCGGCTTCGCTGAATCTTGCTCAAAACCTGCTAGCTACGAAGTATTCCACCTACACTCCAAAGCATAGGCTTACCTAGGAGATAGCTAGGCCGCCCGCAGTGAACGCCAAACCCCTGCTCTTCCGCGCAGGCCGAGCTGCGGCGGCGCGCGGGCATCCCCAAATCGTGCGGCACGCTCATCTCCACCGCGCTGCCGAACGTCGGGCGGCAGCGCCTCGCGGGCAAGCCGGCCGCGTCGATGACGACCCAGGGTACGCGCGCGCCAACGCGCACGAAAAAGAAGGGCGACCTGAAGGTGGCGGCCAAGGCGATTGGGAGGGCGCTGCAGGGGCTGCTGGCGAACCCTATGGAGTCGGCCGGCTGCATGCGCTACAGGTGATTGTGCGCGCGCGCATTCTTGGTATCCATCTCGTCAGATCGAACGATCCATGAAGCTCGTACCTGAATGCGGACATCGATTCATCTGGCACCGACCTTGAACTTAAACATGGGCTTGCTTCTCAAGCTCCCCCATCCTCATCTCATGCCCGGAATCGGTGTTCACCATTTGCAACGCCTCGCGAGTCGTGCAAATGCGACTCAGAAAGTCTCAGATTGACCTACTGGAACCCCGGAACCGCTATATTTTCCCACTACGATTTGATACGTGTCTCCCCCAGGTCTCTCGGGTTCCTTCCGCCGACGAGCCCGTTCCGGCGCGCGCTGTTCCTGCTGGTGAGCAGCAAGGAGTACGAGTGGCTCAGCCTGATCATGGTGATCGCCAGCTGCCTCTCGCTGGCTCTGGACTCGCCGGAGCTCTCCGACACGTCACCGCTCAAGCACGCGCTCTGGTTCTCCGACATCATCTTCGCCACCTTCTTCTCCGCCGAGTGCCTCGTCAAGGTGAGCCGCCGCGGAGCCGGACTACGCAAAGTGGTCTCTTCACCTGCGGGTTTTCGGGCTTATAAAGTGATTCCAGCACTGTGTAGATTGAATCGCCGTTCAATTCGCTCGCGGCCAGGTAATAGATCTGATCATAGGCGCGCGAGCGGGTCTAGGAACTTTCAAAGGAGAGACCTCGACGTCCGCCAATCGTTGCTTCCTGACATCCTGCGCGGACAGAGAGAGCCCATCGCTAATCTCGAAACGGCGCGCTGAGTTCAATATCCCCTAACAAGCGCCACAGATTCCCTCGCTCACAAAGGCCTCACCAGAAAGCTCGAAAAGGTTTCGTTGCATCACTCAAGGCGAGTGGAGTCGCACGCAGCTCACCCCTCCGCCCCTGGTGCGTAGATCTTGATCATGGGCCTCTACGCGCACGAGGGCGCGTTTTTGCACAGCTCGTGGAACAAGCTGGACGTGCTGGTTACGGTCTGCAGTATCGCCGCCTGCTTCGTCAGCCCCACCCACCAGGGCGACCAAGTCAAGTCGCTCCGCTCCTTCCGCCTCCTGCGCGCGCTGCGCCCGCTGCGCATGGTCAGGTGCGCGCTCTGGCGTGCGGCCGCGGGAGGCCGCTGGCGGCCTGCACTTGCTGTTCTTCATCTCTGATCTATTCTGAGTCGAAAAGTTGGATTTAAGACCTTCTTTGAAGCAACTGAATGATCCAGCGCCGAAACGAGAGATGCGCCAGGCCTCTGATCGGCCCCCATCTCCGGAGGCAGATTCAACGCTGCTTGTGCGTATTTCAGCTTGCCTCTACTCTTCAGGGACCAATTCTCACCATCCAAACAAAGGAGACGTACAAAGAGAGCCGATTGTGTGGGGCTCTTCTCACTGTTGATTACACGCCGGAAGCGTTCACTTACGAGCGAAGACATACCACACATCCCGGCGCAATTACTCGCACTGGTAAAAGAAGACGAACTTATCAGGAATCAGGACTTCTCCTGAGTCCCGTTTCCGTCCTTTTTGCAGCAAGCTTAAGAACTTGCGCATGGTGATCCTGACGCTGAGCCGCGCTCTGCCGTCTTGCATCAACGTGATTGCGCTGGGACTGTTCTTCTTCATCATCTACGGCGTGCTGGGAGTGCAGCTCTTCGCGGGCACCTTCTACAGATGCAACGATAACTCCGTGCGCTCGGTCGAGGTACGCCCGAGAGATTCATTTCATTTCTCAGGTCTTGCATCGCAGATTCTCTGCTCCTTTGAGCCGTATGTTTCTTTTTTGATCCAGCCTTGCATTCCTGTCATGTCTCAGAGGCAAAGCTGTCCCAAATTTTTTTTTGTTGACTTCTAAAAGTTGGGAAGCCTTGCAAAAATGTGCATTGAAGAAGAGCCCATCAATCCGCTTCATGTGGTTCGAAACGCCCTCTCCCCTCAACATCGATAGAACTTTCACCAATCGTACAGTAAAAGTATCTTTCAAAGCAGTTGTCGAGTCCCATTGCCAAGCGCAGAGTTCGTCTTTCCTCTCGTCATTTCAATCTCCGGTTTCTTAAAATCTGTTAGGTTTTTTGCGTCTCTAAATCTGCGCACTGAATTTTGCAGGAGTGCGTGGGCACCTTCACGGACCCCTCCACCGGGCTGCTGGCGGATCGCGTATGGTCCAACGCGCACATAAACTTTGACAACCTGTGGTACGCAATCGTGGCCATCTTCGTAGTAGTAACGCTCGACGACTGGCCATCGCTCATGTTCCAAGCCATGGACGCGACGGGCGTCGGGAAGCAGCCGCGGCTGAACAACCAGATCTGGGCGTCCATCTACTTCATATTTTTGCTGCTCATGGGGGCGGTGTTTTGGGCGAATCTGCTGGCGGGCGTCGTGACGGACTGCTACTCCAAGCTGCCGCCCGAGGACAAGGACATGCTGTTCATCACGGAGAGCCAGAAGCGCTGGGCGCAGGCCATCAAGATGAAGCGCTACGAGAACCAGGTGTCAATGCACAAGTCCGCGCCGCCGCAGGTAACCACGGCGGGGTCGCCTGGCTCCCAAAATTAGGTTTCTCGAGTTTCGGGGTGTGATGTGAAGGAGGTGTATATTGGAAAAAAAAATTGTTTTCTTTGTGCAAGGGTGCGGAAGCTTTTTGGTGCAAACTCGTTGACACAGCACTTGGAGAGACGAATCGGATGTGAAGGCGACTTTCGACCTGTTTGCAAAGGCTCAAGGGTTGCATGTCACCTCTTTTCCAGAATCAAAACGTGGACTTGTTGAAGGTACGTCGTTCATTTCCGCTCCGCAGTGGACTCTTTGGGCAAATCGCAGAATCGTATACCCCCGCGGCGCAGGCGAACGTGGTACGGCGGGTCGCGTGGGCGATCGTGACGAGCAAGACGTTCGACTACGCGGTGCTGACGCTGATCATGCTCAACATTCTGCTGCTCGCGGTTCAGCACAAGGACGAGGACTACGTGTGGCTGGAGATCACCCGCATCGGCAACTATATCTTCACCTACTCCTTCTGCGCGGAGCTGCTGCTCAAGCTGACCGCGCTCGGCCCGCGCAAGTACTGGGCGGACGGCTGGAACCGCTTCGATCTAGTCGTTGTCGCGGGGTCCGTCCTGGACCTCAACGTCAAAACCCTCAACATCGGCGCGCGCGTGAGTGGCTTTCGATGCTTTAGAAGCGAAGTCACTCTCAACTTTTAGGACTTTTTAAACTGGAAACTACTTCTTTCCGTCGGAGCTTGGACTGAGATTGAGACTGAGAAACTCTTGCATCGTCTGAAGACGAAACATAGCATTCCATCCCTCCAGTCTCTCTTCAATCTGAGGAACTCCAAGCAAGGGCAGGTTCCTAACAGTCCATCCCTGGTCAGAATTCTTTCCACTACCGTCAGCTTCCAGTTTCACCACACAAAAATGAGAAAGGCTGATGGTGCACCAATTACAGTTGTCTGATATCTGCTCAAACCCCTGAAGACCCCACCTCCCAGTCTCAAGATTCTCCTCTGAATCGAAGTAACATAAGTTCTAGGTGTGAGAAGAACAGTCCCCGAGGTAGAGCAAACCAAAAACCTAAACCGGCAATCGCCTCGGGCACCTGGAGTTCGCACCCAAGATGTTGCACGGCCAGTCTGCATTCGGGTGCGAAATTCACGGAAATCGACAATATACCACACTCCCTCTCTGGGAAACTATCGAACACTCCGTCGAAACAACATCTTCGGTGCGAGATTAAGGGGCCCGAGCCCATTATCCGCACCCCTACCCAACTTTATCCCCCAGCCTAACCCCACCCGTTTACCGAGCCATAACGTTACCTACCCATTGCTCCACCTTTCTAAACAGTAGGTATGTAGTCTCAACCGTTTCCCGCTGCCCGCCAGGTGTTTCGCCTGGGCCGTCTGTTCAAGATCATCAAGGCGAGCCGCGGGCTGCGCACTCTGGTGAACGCGTTTGTGGGTGCGCTTCCGGCCATGTTCAACGTGGGCCTGCTGTTCTTCATCATGATCTTCATCGCCGCCATTTTGGGGATGGACCTCTTCGGAACGCTCCCCGACGGCGAGGGCATCTTCGACCACAACAACTACCGCAACGTTGGCAACTCGCTCCTCGCCTGCCTCAAGCTCTTCACCGGCGATAACTGGTGAGCCAAACTTAGCCGTCTTTAAGTAGGTTCAGAATGTTCCATAATGGTTTTGCAGCGGCTTTGTTCAATCGAAAGCTCCTGACGCGTTAACTTGTTTCCGAAGGCGTCTGCGACTCTTCTTGACTTGCAGACGCGCCTGACGGTGAGGTCTCTCAGTGCACATTCTCGTGGTCAAAAGGTAGACGGGCTCATCTCGTTTGCTTCTCGCCTTCTGATGAGCTTTATTCGACTTTCACAACTGGTCAAATCCCTCGAGCTCTGCTCCCTGTTTTTCCCTCAGAACGCCCATCTACTTCCAGACGACATGCTCGGGCAACGGCGCGAAGTTCAAGCTCTTATTGCCACAACGCCCCATCATACCACTTGCGTTCTGAGCATCTCATTCAACTCTCAAACCTGTTCTGACCCCTCGAGCTGTGCTCCCTGTTTTCCCCAGGACGCCCATCTACTTCCAGACTACGTGCTCGGGCAACGGCGCGGAGTGTTTGGTTCACATCCTGGTGCCGGTGTACGTGCTGCTCTACACGGTCATCATGCGTTTCATGCTGCTCAACCTAGTTCTCTCCGTCATCCTGGATCGCTTCACCGACTCCGCCACCTACGAGGGCCTGCTCTCCACCGACAACTTCTTCGACGTGAGCGCGGCAACCGGGCAACTCTTTCTCCCAACGAGTGCCAAGTCGTGTGCTCAATTTTAAAGACGTGTTTCGCGCATACTTTCAGGACGCTGTAGATCTTGCTATGAATATGTTGGTTCAGGGGTGAGTTGAAATTAGCAGATTGATGGAGATCAATCAGAAAAAGGGGCTGCTTCTCGACGAGGTGACGAAATCGGTTCAACTTTTGAGGAGTCAGAGACACCGCTCAGAATTGCTAGCTTGAATTTCATTAGCTTCTGCCTCGCCAAGTTGGCATCACAGCATATGAAAAACATCACTTCCCAAAGTATTGAAGATAGTGCTACCATTTTTGTAAAAGACGGTAACGATTGTCGAACGAGCGTTCACTTTGTCAGAGTTGAAGCTTCTATCTTCCGATTTTAGCCGCTTTCCCGTCCCGACTTTGCAGGCGTTGCAGCGCAAGATGCTGCTTGACGGCTTCGTCCGCAAGCTCAAGATGAAGATCCGCGGCAGCCCCAACGGGCGCACGCTCGCGCGCTCCGCCAGCGCGCGCAGCCTTCTCGAAGGGCCCTCCCAGAACCCCGTCCCCGCGGGGCTGGTCGCGTTTGCATTGAGCAAAGCCAAACAGCGCGAGCAGCAGCGCGCGACGAGCGGCCGCGAGGTCAACCGCGGGAGCGACGAAGATAGCATGCCGTCAAGATGAGGATGGCGTGCTTGTACACACGACGGCAAAAGTGTTGCGTGCGGTGTCGTCACCGCAGGGATTGAGGAGATCATTGCCCACCGAAGGAAGAGGTCAGGGATAGGGCAGTGAGCATTCGGCGAGGCTTACCAGCCTAGCTCAAGGATCAACATACCAAGAGTATAGGCGTCGCATTAGTAGGGTGAACTTCGCAACCACAGCTAGCAGTTGATGGTGCATAGAGCGTTGCGTATCGAACTTCACAGCCGCACTGAGGAGGGCGGCAGGTAAAGATGGACGGCGATGTACGTTGTCACCAGTAGAGGGGCTCATAATGGATCTTAAGATTAGTCAAAGTTGTCTACTTTGACAGACGGTATCGGAAGCATTCATCTTTTCAACTTGGTTAAAAGGTTACAACTAAGCTGGATGCGCTTCTGTCCTCCTTGACTCTAGCGTGCCCTTCCGACCGGACAAACACGTTCACTTTTGTAGCTGTGCATCTGAGCATTTGCCATGGAGACGTCTCTTGCAGCCTGCGTGCTTGTTCCATGCTATCACTATCGCTTAGCATGCAGAATGATCAAAGACCCTGCGTGCCTATACTTCTTGGGTTAAAGAGAGCGCGCATGAGGAGTGATTGAAAAGGAGGAAGCACGCACGTGTATCTACCCAAGGTTGTCGATGGTGGGTAATCATCCCGTTATTCGGCGGGGCATCTATCGTATGAACGTGTGAAAAGCCATGTGCAGGTAGAATGTAAACAAAAAAGGAGCCCGGCCTGTGGCTGTCTTATAGTGTCAGTTGAAAACTTTCAGAAATACCGTCAATTTGTCACTGGCCGGCCCAGTCATGCAGAGCATGGATTGGCCGGGGACATGGCGCATTGGAGTCTTACATGAAAGTTTAGCCATCGGATATATGCACACACAGAACATGCTGCCGATCAGAAGCCAGAGTTACCGGCGGCCAGCTGGGCGTATGCGCATGCAAAACGCCCCGGCCATGCTACAAGCACACAAGGCTTCATCGTATGCTTGACTCGGCGCTATGATCGATGGGCAGAATTCAGATTCCGCAAACGTTCGTCATATGCTGGAGATATACAGCTTCCGTTTTATGTTTCAAGCCGCCTGAGCCGCGCGATGGTGTTTGGAGCCTTCCGAAGGTGTAGTGAGCATCGTGTCGACCAAAGCAAAGGTCAGCATTGACTCCCAAGGCAGATTAGACGCCTGGCAGTCCTGTCACGATTTGCTCAGGAAATTGCAATTGTTGGCATCAATAAACCCAAGCGACCCAGGTGTAGAGGAACAGCCAAATTGCTTATAGAGAGAATCGCACTTCCATTTACAACGAGCAAGCCATTCCACTGTGTCTAATGCCCTAGCCGGTACTCGAGAATTTCCGTTCCCTCTTCTGATCTGCCACGAACAGCCCCCGCTCGCTCACACGCCCCCAGCCTATGGCGCTTTGGCCGCTTTGAGGCTCCTCGCGCTAATAGCGACCCCGGGCACATTCTCCGAGCTGCGAGTGGTGCTCAGCGGCGTGTGGCCCGCGGACCCAGTGGCCAGCCTCCCGCTTCCGTCTTTGGGTGTCCCCCCGGCGCGGCCTGCGAGCGGCGACTTGACACTCACGGCCGCGGCTTTGGCACTCTGCGGGGGTTCGCGGGCGGATCTGCAGCCCGAGACGAGTATTTGTAGCGGGGCGGGGCATACTGGCTAGAATGAAACATCTCAGGGCTGCCAAAAACGAACGAGTTTGACTGCCCAACAGGTGCACTGCACTCCACGTCGCCCACGAAACGCTCCACACAAGGATGTTCGCGCAGGGGGAAGGGACATGCTTGCAACTCGCAAGGTCTCTAGTCTGGTTACCAACGAGCAGAAGGCGAGCATTACAGAACTGACAAGCAAAACGCGTGGATCGACTCGTAAGCAGGCAAATACCTCATGAGAACTATTTGGACTGACTTAGAAAGTGCTCGGCAGATCGAACGCTCACCCCGTGTCGCCGTTGTGGGTGAAGCCCAGCGGGGTGGACAGTCCGGAAAGGCCGGCCCGGCTCAGGCTGGCGGTCAGCGTCGCGTGGCGCTGCTGAAGCGCGTGAACCTATAGCATATTGGCCAGAAAAACACTGAATACTCGTGGCGGCGCGAAAAAGATATAAAATCAGTCTCACGTCCATTGGATCTCAGGGATAGCATCAGGTTTGGTGTGTTAGTCATCCCTTGCGCAATACAGGGGAGGAATATTTCGATGTACTGACGGTGCAGCAGCTTCATTTGCGAGTGCAGATGAGTGCACGTCGCTTCTTGGTAATCGATTGGTAGCGTCGACGCTTCTTGTAGATGGCCGTTGTAAATCGGGAAAAAGTTAAGCTAACAAGTGACATCTCAATCTGCCCGCGCGCGCCCACCTTTTCTGTGAGCGACTCCGCGAGCTCTTTCTGCGCGGCCACGTCGCTCAGCAGCTCCGGCTGCGTGATGAGCCCGCTGGCCAGCTTCAGGTTCTTGGTCTCTGTCATCGCCGCGTCGCGCGCGCGCTTCGCGCGCTGCAGCCGGTCCCGCCGCTCCGCCACCTCCCGCTCCAAGCTCTCCAGCAGCAAGCCCTCCGCCTGCGCGGTTGAGAGAGCTTTTCGTGACAGACCGAAATCAAAGCAACGGTGGCTTTATCCACCAGCGTGCCGGTAAGGCTGTCTTGCCTTCTGACGGCATAATCTAGCCTGTTTCCTCGTCAAGGGCGCCTCCATTTTGTACACGGACTGTCTCTCCGCTATCTGCATTCATACTCGAAGCGTCATCTTTTGAACCCCGTCCTTCCATCGTGCGGAGGCTTTTCAGCTATTGTCGTTGCGAGAAAATGCTCTCGATGTGCGGCCTCTTCCTGAGCACGGCCTGAGAGACCCAGGAATCTCAGTTTTCGCACTAATGCTAACAGTAATGCTACGCAAAGAGATTCATCCGCCGATCCAATCGAGATCCGGAAACTTTGTTCCGCCAGTCTACATGAAAAGAGACCTCCAACCACCAGCACTTCCGCGGTAGACAGTTGGCAGTAATCTTGGGTCCAAGAGCAAGTTAACAAAGATAAGATAGTGAGACGACAGGGGCGGCGGGCGGCACCTCGGCGTCGCGGTGGACGTGTTGCAGCTTCTCCTTCTGGTGCGTCAAAATGTGCACCGTCGTGCACACCTTCTTGCGCAGCTTCGCCAGCTCCTCGTCGCGCACCTTCACCTGCGCCCACCGCGCGGCGCCGCGCGTCACAAACGCGGACCAGATTCGCCGGCCAGACTAACGCTTCTATATTTCCGACTTCCAGAACGAACTTGCCAACACGCTAGAATGATATAGGAAGAAACGAAAGCACGTCGGGTTTCCCTCAACCCGGACTGAACGAGGAATCTGCGCAGCTTCTGAAGTTGGAATGATCTCTAACAATCAAAGCGTGTCGCTTGTGCCGCAGAAGCAAACGGCAACCCGCCGGCAGGGCTGGCGGATGTGTGAGGTGGCCCGCAAGATTAAGAGAAAACATAATCACCCCTCTTGAAACCGTTCTGTTTGACATCCGCACTCTGTTCGTGAGGACTGATTCTCCAACACAATCCATCTTCAGACTCGGTCCGGCCGCACCTTCTCTGAGAGCGACTGGTTCTCGATCTTGAGCTGCTCGAAGTCGACTTGGTGCAGGCCGTCCGCGAGCTCCTCTTTGCGCTTGAGCGCGCGCTCCAGCCCCGTCAGCGTGTTCTTCAGAATGATGCTCTTCAGCCGCACCGCCTCCACCTCCTCGTCCTTGGCGCGCCCCGTCGCGTCCAGCTGCGCGCGCAGACGGTGTTAAACATTGGTTTGAAACCCTAAAACCTTTCAACTCTTTATTTGACGAGATTCTACTTTCAAAGCTTTTTGAGTTATGAAACGGGCGGTAAGCGTAAAAAAAGAATCGTGTGCTCCCAGATATGTCCAGATGAGTGAAACACAAGGAGACGTCGAAAACGTGTGGTGGACCGAGTTTCTGCGCACGTCTATGTGTCCTTACATCAAACAGGTTGCTGGCACTGGTTCGCATATTATAAAAGGAATCCTTCACAGATCAAGCGAGTGCCACCATCAAAGTACGGCCTTGCTCCAGGGCGTACCTGGCGCAGGTGTTTCGTGGGGATCCCCCGACCGGTGCGGCTGTTCTCTGCCTCGCGCGCGACCTCCATCTCGAGCTGCAGGTAGTTGCTGCGGATCTGCGCCGCGCTGTCCTGGCGCGCCTGCAGCTCGTCCTTGGCGCGCTCGATGGCGCCGTCGAAGTGTGCGCTCACGCGCCGCAGTTCCTCCGCGCCCCCCACCCACTGCTGCAAACTCTGCACGCCGGGAAGAAGGGGTAAACGCTTTCACTTTGTTGACCCGAAGAAAGTTGGTAATAGAAACGAGGACTCTAGGAGGCAACATGCAGAAACGCTCCGGAAAAGCTAATGAACACACACAGCTGCATTGTAAGTGGACAGACTAATCGCTGAGTGGACTGTGGCAGGGAGATTGTGTCGAGCGCAAACGTGTTGCGGTTACGTAGCACGAGCGCACTTTGACGACGCGGCAGCTGTTAGCCCCATGTCACCACCCAGCATTGGCCAACGGAAAGAGTCCACGGAAATGCTGGCGTCCGGCACCTGAAACTCCAAAACCCAAAACCCTAAAATCCTAGTATCGGGCCCGCCAGACGGGAGGGCAGGTATTGGCCAGAGGTTGGTGGTTTACGAGAGCGGAGTCGTCAGTATCATGCTCCTGCCATGTCCAGACGAGGGTTGGTGATCGACGTTTCGTCCAATTTCTTTTCGCGCTTCTGAGTATTGATGTATGTCGCACCACCCCACCGCAGGAAGTTTTAGCTCTAATATCAGACGCGGAATTAACATGCTCCAAGATACGCTCACAACTTGCCGGACACAGTCGGGTGCAAGTCAGAAGAGGTACAAGCCGCCAAAGTGCTCTGGCTGTCGGCCGCTCACCGAGATATAGCGCATGTCGTCGTCCAGCAAGCCTCCTTCGTTGGAGAATTCGCCGGCCGCCCCCTTGGCCGCAATCAGCGCAGCGCACCGCTTCTGCAGCTGCTGGTTCTCTGCCACCAGCCGCGCGTGCTGCTCAGTTGCTTCCTGGGGATGACAAAAGTCAGCCTCTTCAACCGGTAATAAAGGAAGAGTTGCCACACTCACAATCGCCTTCCGCTAAGAAGAAAGACGAGAAGGCAAGGGCATGGTCTTGGATCGGAAAGCAGATCGTAATTTCAGATTCTGTGTGGGCACCAGGCTGCAACAAGCACATCACTTTGAGGAGTCTCCGAACTGACACTTGAATTGCTGCTTCCTTGCACCAAGTCACTGGTGATGTCCGCTACGGCGGACATATCTACACAGAATCTGAGCCTGATACGTCTGGCACTCCCTTTGGATGCCAGAGATTCAAACACGCTCCCCCTCCTCTCGACCGCTGGGAACTTTAACAGGTCTGACAAACTAAGAGAGATCAGCTGTACACTTAAGAGGAAGCGTGTGTGGCATATTTCTGTCCTTACTTGCAGTTGGGCAGCTATGAGGTCCTCTTGCACGGGAGCTGCTTCCGGTTCCACCTCGGACACGTCTTCCGGAGGCGCAGGCGCTTGCGGCACCTGGAAGTCGTCATCGAATCCCTGCACAGAGTTCAAGCCTCCTTCACAACTAGTTGCAGAATGAACTTCAACTGTGAAGAATGGGCAATTGCTGGACTTGCGCGCGGTGGGCAGCTGTAAAGTCAAAGAGGCACAACACTGCATCAAAGAGAGTGTTATACGGGGAAAAAAAAGGACAGGTTAGTGATGAGCCACTGATTCTTATCGTTTAAAAGCAGGCAGCCACGATCTATTGAACGCACCTCGATTTCCCCGTCCCCCTGGCCGGCTGTTTCCAGTACGTCCGCCGACATCAGCGCCGGTTCTGTAGCAGCCTCAGCATTTCCCAGCAACAAATTGAGCTCTTTAGCAACCGCACCAGGATCAGCAGGCCCATCATTTGGAGCCGCTTCTTGACTTTGACGCGACGGTGAAGCCCGCTCGACAGAGGTTGACGCCCGCCCACTGGAACGCTTTCTTTCAGCCTCAGCTGATGCCCCCTCCAGCGGTGCTATTTGAGTGTCAGCCTTGCCAGCAACTGCTGGGCCTGCCCCATCTCCCTCAGGTAACCCCTCAATGTCTCCTTCTGCAGCCTCCGAGTCCGGTTGTATTACTTCCGTCCCTTCTGCTGCGCCAGTATCGTCTCTAGCTGGTCCATTACTGACTCCATTGCTCTCAACAGAAGGGTCTGCAGCTGCGTCAGCTTGGCCCCCCGCATTCGCAACCTGCGCCTCCAGAGCTTCGGGGCTGAGGGGGGCTTCTGCGGGCTCCTCAGCAGAACCCGTCACCACCTCATTGTCCTTTTCAGTACCAGCGGCTGGTCCTCTACTTGATCCTCTTGCTGATCCTGTCTCTCCTGCACCGCTCTCAACCGGTGCCGTCTGATCCGCATCATCAGTCCGCCCCTGAGAATGTGACCGTCTCTTAGCATTGCTCTCGCGTCTGTCTAGAATGGTGGACGTCGTGGCATCATTGCTCAACTCCTCTCCGGTCCCCGCTTGCTCTGCACCTTTCCCGTCCAGAGCCTCATCCGCCATGCCCCACAACGTCTATGTGAGCTCCTCCTGTCTGAGCTAGCCTGCCACCTTATATTGTGGCCTAAGTGCGAGTCCCTGTTCGAGCTGTCAGCGAGCTCTACGCTGACAACAGGCTCTCCCCGTTCCAGAATCAGCTTCTGAGGCTCGTTCCAGTGATTCTGGCCAGCTACACCGTCTCCCTGAAAGCCCGTTACATTGTTAACATGAAAGGAAAAAGAGAAGGACCTACCAGTCACGTTCCTTCTACGTTAGAGTACTGCTCAAGGCTACGGTGAGGCACAGCAGGTATCCTGATATCAGTAATGGCGCTTGGAGCTGAACTTTGAATACCGATAGCTGAGGCTTTCAAATAGCCCTAGAAAGCAGATTGCAATACCTATGTATTTTAGCCTCAGCCTATTTCAAGGAATACAGGTTTTCAGGCTGCGATTAGCCGGCTGATCACGTTCGTATACGGTACATAATATGTAGTACCATATTGTCGATTAATGTTACATAACGCGTAAGCTACGTCAGGACGTACAGCGCCAACCGTTTTCTAACATGCATGATGACAGAGGATGGTGGCCGCCGGGGCTCCATATATTCGCTCTTCAACCGTTCTGAAACTGCGCAATCTGGTAAGTTCACCCTAATTGCGCCTCGGCATCGAAACTGACCTGTTGACGGAAGCTGAAGTCGGCCGGGAACTTCACACCCGTCGACGCAAGGCGATTGTCCCACTGAGGATCGAGTACCAAGCTGGGGTTTGGAATACTTACAAGTACGACCTATGTATGTAGAAGCAAGCCCTACAATGACATACAAGAATAGACCGGTGAGATGAATACGTATCTAGGTATCTTACCTATTAAAGTAAAATTCTTCGACTCTTGATCGTTCTATGAACTGCATTCAAACTTTTAAAGGAGCTTTTGATGGTTCGAGTCCCGTCGCATCCAGTGAATTGAGGTGCATTGGCCGTACGTGGGCACTGCATTGACACCAACTATCCAGCTCTTGCGGCACAAGTTTGCATTAGGGTCCACCTCCGGCAAGCTACTACATTGTGCTCTCGAATAGAATGACAAGCTAGAAAAGTACAGTATCTAGTTCAACCATGAGCACCGTCATGTAGGCGGTGTTTGTTGAAAGGCTGTTTCTCCGTGGCCTCTCCTTCCCCAAACAATGGACAGCGTACTCGAAGAAGAGGACTCTAGCGCCCCCGTCCCGCGCCTGCGGAAATGGCCCAGGCTGAAGCCCATCCACAAGAGCTCAATGCTGTCTCAACCCAATCAGCAAGGCCACAGCATTGGGGTGAATCCAAGGGCAGCTGTACGGGGATCTTTTCAGGAGGGAGGACGTGAACGGGCTGACACAGTGGGTCTAGAAGAAGCAAGGTTAGAAGCACAACGGGACTCGGGCTTGGAGTCTGGGAAGGAGGTTGAAGAACGAGAGCTGGAGCACAAAGTAGCAAGCGATGGGGCAGCTGCTTTGCTGAGGCACTCTGGAGTTGATTCAGTGGAAAGGACCATGTTAAAAAATGGTGTGCAGGCAACCGAAAACGAGCATATTGGTAGGATCAACAAAGAAGGGGACAGTGGCAAGTTGGCCACACGAAAAGATCCTGACAGCGATGCAATTGAGCAGCCAGCTGCTGAACTTCAGGGGCCGCCTTTGACCAGAGGTGCCCAATACAAGGAGCCGCTTTGTGACCATCCAAGTGCACGAGAGAGGGACGAGTCAGAGTCGGCCACACCCAGCTTGAAAGCATCAGCCAAGAGAAAGAAGGTCGCCGTACCGTCTCAGGGGTCCTCGCTCCGAAGCTCTGTGGCTAGCGTACACAGACAGCCCCAGGAGCGGAGCACGGGACGAGTCAGCGAGTCCTTGACGGACGTTGCTCGAATACTAAACGAGAAGCACGGGAGGGAGAATGCGCCAAACACACCGCTGCTGAAGCAACGTCCCAGCTCTGCTCGGAGCAGCTTGCGGGGTCCGCCAGTGGAGCGGGGAGGGCCCTTGCGGAAGTCGGTTCTCACGCCCAGGTCCATCTCCGGCGAGAACGGCACAAAAAATACGGCCCAGAAGGTCGACCAAGGGGCCAGAGAAGCAGCTCTTGTAAGGAAAATGGGGAACCCGTCGTCAGATAGTGTGCCATTATCAGCAACCAGGCCTTTGCTAAATCCGGCAAGTGAATCATCTGAACGAGGAGAAGAGCAGCCAATACGAAATAGTGACCCAGGTTGTCAGGCAATCTCATCTGAGGAGCAGAAAGCGGAGGCAGAAGGGGCATGGGGGGAAAGTATGACAGGCACCGGGTTGGAGGCCTCAGAAACAAAGGACGAGTCAGAGAGAGGTGGCATTGGCCTGGACATGGACGCAGTAGGGACTTTGACAGCAGGGGGCATCGACGAGGAGGGGGCTCAACCAGAAGATGTAAAGAAGGTGGAGACAACACTTGAAAGTTTTGGGGAAAGGCCGAGCAGCGCTTTAGACATTTCCCAGGGTGCGGAAGCTGCCACCTCGTCACTTGCCCAGCCATCTGAATTTTCTGGATTCGATAGGAGTTCGAACGTGCTGTTGGAGAAGCAATGTCCACCAACCAACTCTAAGCAGCCAATAGATGCTTCGGCCTTAGAAAGAAAAGGTACTTCGGCTAGTTCGATGGCAACCCTTGGCCAGCCCGATCTGCCGGACAGCAAAGCTCTTCTGCAGCCCGCTCGCACGTCGCTGTCCGCTCAGAAGCTGTCGAGCATCTTGAAGTACCTGGAAGAGGTCAATGCCAGCCAGCAGCAATACCCTTCCGAGTCAGAAGACATGGCGTCGTCAAGCGCAGAACTTCTCCGGCCAACAAGGATCCAAGTGGCCCGCGTTAGGCACAGACTGTCGTCTACTTTTGAAGACGGCGAGTCTGAGGCCGGGTATCCGCTCGACTCAATGAGCACGGCGTCTCTGGAAGCGGCCTCCAGGATGCGCGGGCTTGAGGGGCCGTCCGGCACTGCTTCCGAAGCGAGCTTCCTACTCGAGAAGACTCCGAGACGTGCGAACACGGCCCGCAGCCGGCCCCCAGAAACCGGGGGAACCGGAACCGGAACGAGCAGCCCTGTGTCCAGAAGCGGCCAGGGGCCTGCTTTGGTGGCGAGCGTGTACCAGGTCAGTGCCCAGCTTTACTGTACCATACTTCAGTTTCGTTGGGGGCTAGAGTTTGCCTACTAGGTTGTGCCGTGCTGAGTTTCGTAGGTGTCTGATCGACTTGCACATTCTGTTGAAAATTCCGACATTATGAAAAGCAAAAGGCTTTTGCTTCACTTTGGGGTTTGTGACTTCGTATCTAAGCCTGTGCTGTGACCGGATACGTTTTATAATCTGTAATTGCATCCTTTTGGCAACACGCGATCAAGCGCAATGCCACGTGTCTCAGGGTGTGAAGGCGAAGCTGCGTGCACTCAAGGGCGAGATAGCGCTGCGAGACGAGGCGATTGCAGCCCTGCGGGAGGAGGTGCGGGCGGCGCAGGAAAAGCACACGGCAGAGCTGAAAGAGTGAGCATTCAATGACGAAGCAATGCTACCAGGCTCATTTTGAAAAGCCGATGTCATTGTTGCCTAGAAATAGCTTGAGGATCGTTGAGGTACCTGAGGAACCCATCTGCCTCGCGCAAACGGTTGCTTCATCTCCAATCTAGTCGAACGGGAGAGGCAATCTCGTCTCTCTTGAGATTACGGGCTGCCTCCAGTCCGCTGCAGCAGTTGTCCCATGTCGAAGAAAACCGATTGAGCAAGAGCCCTTGGGCTCCTCTGACTTGATACTGCAACTATATACTCAGAACTCCCTCCAGATCTAACTACCTTTGACGCCCCTTGAGTGCAGGCTGGAGTCTCGTCATGCTGCGTCATGCCAGCGTCAGCAGGCGGAGTACGAGGCTGCGCTGGCGCGCCACCTGGCGTTCGTTGACAAGCTGCTGGGCGACAAGGACAAGCTGGCCGCCAAGTGCACGCAGATGGCGGCGGACGTCAAAGCCGCAGAAATCAAGGTGAGCAGGGCGGCAGCGGTGAGGGGCCGTACCATGTGATTGGGCAATGACCCAGAGTCAGGTAAGTGTTGAAACTCAAGGTTGTTTTTGCATTACCTTTGCCGAGCCATTTCGGCTAGCCCGGCAAAGCTCAAGCGGAAAAACCCGAAGCAAACGAGCTTTCAGAGAGTAGATTAATACCTTGAGGAAGCTGATAGTTTAGAATCTATTGTTTTAAGCAGAGTTTGGAAAGCTTGAAGTGGCTGCCTTTTAACCTTGTGGATATGTAGCCACGCCTGCAGACGGAATCTTACACCATTGAGTCTAAGCAAAGCTAAACCCAGTCTTGGACGTGTGTCCAACACTCACGTCGTGCGTGTGCAGTTCGAGGAGCGGGTGCGGGGCGTGCAGGAGCAGAGCGCGCGCGAGCTGAAGAAGGCGCGCGAGCAGTGGGCGGCCGCGGAGAAGGTGAAGCGCGAGCAGTGGATGGCCGCCAAAGTGCACGAGGTCAAGGCCATGACCGTCAAGGGGCTGGAGCCGCAACTGCAGCGACTTATCGAGGTGAGACAACGGTGCGCTATTTTTTGACCGCTTAGCACCAGATGCAGAGGACATATGAGGAGACTTAGGACTGCAAATCACACAAGAAGCACTTTTCAAGCAGGCCAAACGTCGGTTCTTCACTTCTCCTGACCCGCTCCTGTCGCTTCAGCTTGGGTGCTCACGTCAATGCCATCTCGTTCCTCATCTGCGTCACCTGGACATCAACTCGTGCTCGCTTTTACGTTCGTAGTAGCTTCTCACCTGCTGTCGTCTTCTTGTCCAATTCAGAAGCACAAGTCGGACGTCCAGCGGCTGGAGGCGCGCCACGTGGCAGAGCTCCGAGCGCAGGCGGACAAAGTGACGGCGGGTCACGAGCAGGAACAACGGCATCAAAGGGAACGCCTACTCAAGGTGGGCCGCGTGAAGGGCCCATATGTCCCATGCTCCTCACTTTAACTGCAAATTGATATTCAAACGCCCAAGAAGGCCTCCCCAACGTTGGTCATCTATGCTCCTGCGTTTCTTATACGTCATCTTTGCGTATGACTCCCTTCGTGTTTTTGATAGACAAGCAGGAGGTTCTGGTCACAGTGGGTTAAATTAAGCAGTTCCGGGTGGTCACACCTCCTGAAATTTGTGCGCCGTTCGTTTGATCAGGAGAAGGACGAGGCGATCGAGCAAGAGCGGAACAGCGCCCAGACCAGGCTGCGGGAACAGTCGGAAAGGTGACCCAGCGAACGCACATTTTCTGTTAATTCAAGAAAGCTCTGCGCAGTTGCCTCCGCACCTAGACGGCCGTACAGGTGTCTGAATAATTACAGTGATTGATGAGTCATGACCCACAGACTCAGCAAAGATACGCCCCCTGACCGCAGCAAGAAATTGAAAACGTGAGAAGTTCGAGCATCGCCGGTGACATTCTGGCCATCTCAAAATTGTCATCAGGCACGTTTCCTTGCAAACCAAAAACCAGCAAACACCCTCTTCGATCGCTGTCACCGGAAGAGAAGTCTCGCCCGGCACCTCAGCGCGCGCGTGTTTGTGGCGTGCAGGTACGAGCAGCAGCTACTGCTCGCGCGCATGCGCGTCGGCGCCGACATGGCCGTCCAAATCGAGCGCGCCGAGGCCGCGCGGCGCGACGACAAGAAGCGCCACGAGGAGCTGCTAAACCTCAAAACCCTGGAGGCGCAGGAACGCGAGGCCGCGCTGCGCCAGGAGATGGCGCGCGCGGTGCAGTCTGCGGCGGCGGAGGGCCGCGCGGCCGCGGAGAAGGCGGCCGCGCAGGTCGCGCAGGAGAGGAAAGAGTGGGAGGCGGCGCTGCAGGAGAGAGTGCGCGAGGAGTGCGCGCGGCGCGAGGCGGAACTGCGGCGGCGGAGCGACGAGCAGATGCGCGACGAGCTGAAGGTGGTGATGGCAAGGCTGGCGGCTGAGAAAGAGGAAGAATTAGAAAAGCGGGTCAGCGCAGAGGTAGAGCGGGCGAGGCAGGCGGAGAAGAGCGCGGAGGAGGCGCGCAAAGGGAGGGACGACCTGGAGACGCGGCTCGAGAAGCGGATTCAAAGTGCAGTGCAGGTAGGAGCGCACGGTTCACCCTGTAGAAAACAGACAGTATGTATGACCTAATCACGCCTTAATGCTGATGTCGTTGGATGAGTTCGCATATCTTTGATTGAATCTTTCGCAGACAATTTGGTCCATCTCCATCTGCTAAACTTACGCAGTCCCCACATTGAAAGATCAAAGCGAGTGACGTTCTCAAACTGCCTCCCCAGACCTACCATTTCTATCCTCTCGCCATTCGGGCCATTGAAGATATCACTGTATTCGACCGAGGCATGAGCATTTACTGAAAGTTCGACCAAAAGAGTGGCATTGGAGAGCATGGGGTGATATTGATCACAGCCCGCCTGCTTCTCAGCCGCGTTATCTGTGTGATGCTAGGCAAAGGCGGACGCGCTGCAAGCTTTGGTGGCGTGCCAAGAGCAGCGCGAGAGCCTCGCGCAGCGGTGCGACATGGAGGGGCGCGAGATCCACAGCATGAGGAAGCAGGTGAGCCACAAGGGGGGGGAGATTTGAAAGGTAATATAAGCGGAGTCTTTTCTGAGAATGCCTACGAAATGACCTGTTCAGGGCAGACCGCTATGAAAGCGCAAGACTCAGATTGTGTGGACGAGCACGAATATCAGGAACCTTGCTTGACGAGAAACGACGCAATATCACAAGTCCAGAACGTAGAGAGGTGGGGCAGGCTTCGTTGATTACGCAATCAGAAGGCTTTTGCCTACGTTGAGAAGAATCGCAGATAGCTATCAGCTGTAGAGACGGATAGCAACGAGAAGGCCGATAAACAAGGCGGTTGGCAAATCGGCGCTCAGCGTGCCCCGCAGGTGGAGGCTCTGACGCAGAAGCTGGAGAGCAGCGACGCAGAGCTCCGCTCGCGGGTAGCGGAACGGACGGAACAGTTGCGGAAGCAGGTGGGAGAGGTGGAGAACCGTGAAGATCAGCTGAGACAGCAGCTGCGGGCCGCGGTCGCCGCGAGTGAGGCGGTTAAAGCCAAACAGGTGAGGCGGGCCGGCCAGGAGGGACGTCGCGGATGAAACTGTAGGTCCTTCAAATTATGCTGCCCTCAAGCTCAACCGCGCTACAAAGTAGGCAGAGCACATGGCGTCTAGTCGGAAAAGAAAGTCACGAGTCATTTTGGGAGTCAGTTTCGCTATTAGCCTGGTTGAAATCTGTTCTCCAGATGTTCAGGTTTGTCAAAATGCAAAGAGCTGTGGTTTTTGACTGGCAATGGGCGAGTCCTGACCGCTACTCCGTCCACTGTCTCGTTCATTCCCACTGACACGCGTTCGTTTGTCGGGGGGAAACGGTCGTTTACCTTCCGCTGAGTCCTCTGCTGCGTCCTGCGCTGCAGGCGGAGGAGCTGTCCGCGGTGGAGGCGCAGGTGCGCGCGGCGATCGCGGCGCGCGACGCGACGGTGACGGCGCTGCAGCGGCAGCTGTACACCGCGCAGGAGCGCGTGCGCGACATGGAGCAGCAGCAGCACGACCTCCTGGAAAGCTCCATGTGAACGCGCGTGCGGCCACGGAGTCGGACGTACACGCTTGCAAAACCAATGTGTCGGTTCTGGCACAGACAGACCGCGAAAGCAGGCAGCTTACGGCAAGGATGAAGTATCTGTGAGGCCGGGTAACTCTTCTGTGCTATATCAAATTAGAGAGCGAAAAGTCGCTAAGTTCTTCACCGGGTCGGAATGGCAGCCACTTATCTTGCTACTGATTTAGGTGAGCCCGATAAAGGCTGCATTACATGTGCATATATCAGTCCTCAGGTTTAGCCGGTCCGTTTGAATGCGCGCATTTAAAGCTAGCAACGCACGAACCAAGCATGTTCACGACCGTCGGTGACGAGCCGGTAGTCACATACACACTTCGAAGTATATAGACCATGGCATGATGACTAGAAGGATGTAGACTGGTTCTCATGGAAGTAATCTTGACCGAAGATTCCATGTGGATCTTATTCATGAAGATGCATGGTAAAGCCTATTTCCCTTGCATAATGAAATGCAGCGAGCCATGGCCAAATGATTCGATATTGTGCAGAATAACGGGCAGCTGCCGCATGCATAGAGGCAGGTGGGGGCCGGTTAAGTCGACTTCGCCTTCGCGGCGAGCTCATGAGCTCTTCCATCGAGAGCGAGCAGGGAGCCTTCCTCAGGTGACTTGGGTAAGTCCTCGAAGATGAAGATGCTCAGACATCCTGGCATTTCTAACATTGTTGTCCCCCCGCCCGCATTTTACAATTCATAAACGTGAGGGGGCTTTCCCGTGTCACTTATTGTGTCGAGGGGTTTTGAAGTAATCAGCTCGTTTGGCTTATCGGACGTCCAGTAGACTATCTTCTTGCCTCACACTATTCTTAGATTCTCAAATAACTATGGATGCGATTCGCTCAGCTCTCACTGATGCCAGTGGGATAAGAGAAGAAACCTCTGTCGAGCAGTACTGTAAGGGGATTGCTCTTCTGTGGAGCCGTTCTTTTGAAGAAGACCGGAAGGAAAGGGGGAACGCAGCGAGCGCCATCAACGGAACAATCATAGTGCGCGACTCCACCCTCCTCGGCGTCGCCCTCCCCTCCCTCGTCCTCCAACCCCTTCCTTACTTTTATGCCCCGCTCTAGCATCGTTCGCAGAGCGTCATCGTCACTATCACTATCCGCGTTCTCAATATCCTCGTCGCTCTCGTTCCCTGTCGTCGCCCTCCGCTCCTTTCTTTCTTCGCCTTAGTTGCGGAAGGCGCCCCCGCATCGGAGTCCTCGTCCGAGCTGTTCCCGCCCTTGCCCTGCTTCCGGCCGGGCTTCTGCAGACCGGAACGGAATGGGTTCAGTCGCGATTTGATACTAAAGTCGTTATGATATTCTCTGATTCAGGAAGATGTAGACGCTTGGATAGTCACTGGGCAACCAGAGAAACATTTGGACTTTTTGTTTTTAGAAAACGGGGCGCCTTCTGCCCGAAACGATGGAGAGGATGAAGGGCGTCCTTCTCTGACCTACCGATGGGCTATTCCGGCACGTACCAGCTGCAGGTCGACCGCGGAAGAAAAAGATTTCAAGCCCTGTGAAAGTGCCCCATACAGCCTTCAACATCGAACCGCTACGTGTCTAAACTGACAGCGGACTGCTCTGACTGCTGGAACCCCCCTGAAAGGCCTAGCACGAGGAAAAGGCAGTGTAAGCCGTAGATATCTCATCTTTCCGACTTCTCCATAATATGACCTCGACAAGAACGGCGTCCTTCGAGCGAGTGGAGAGAGGAAGACCGCCAAGAGAATCACAAACCCCATTCGGAATGGATCCAGGACAGAAGTTGGGGATGGATTCAACCAGAATGGGACTCAAAAGTCCCCACCTTGGCCGCCTTGGCTGCGTAAACGTTGTAAAAGAAAGCGTCGTTCGCCGTGAGCCGGCTCTCCTCCACTGCCGCAGATGCGTCACCTCCCCCGAGCAGGTGCGATCGCGCGGCGTGGCCCTTCTGCAGCGGCTGGATGAGCGAGGCGCCCTCGACTGATCCTGCCGCCTTGACGGCGCGAGGCTTCTTCTCGACGAAGCGGTCGAAGAAGATGCTCCGGGCGAGGTCCCCGTCCTACAGCTGTGAGAAGAGGGGGGGGGAGAAGGGAGTGTGAGCCGGAGAAGCGTATCAATTTTCTGGATTCTTTCAAGGGCTGCTTTTTTGCTGGCTGAAAAGTAGCGGTCCAGGAAGGATGGGTCACGAGAGACACTCCTGTTGAGACCCATGTTGAATAATAAGACGAGGCGCTGTTCGAGTGGCTGGACAGGGAGTAGTTCAAAACGAGACCTGCAGGAGGCCCCTTCAATGAATCAACGAAGGCAACCTATCGGTTGCTTTGACAAGACACATCGTGCGGATTTTGCGACCGACAGGACAGTGGCACGAACCTGCCAGCCCACCTGTTTCGCACCTGCCGCCGCCCGTCCTCCTCCTGTCTCCGCTACTTTGCACCCCCGTAGCTGACGTCACTGTTGGTCCTGCTGAGTGCGCACCGCCGTCACCATCTGCAGCGCTAGGAAAGCTTTCCGTGCTGTTCGAGCACACAACCGCCTCACCGTCCTCGTGGGCGGTAGTTCCATTTGTCTTACAGTTCCGGCTCTTTCATGGGTGACTTCAATCCCCCACGCCCCCTCTTGAGAATAGCAAGGGCCTCATTCACAAGTCCTTGAAATGTCTTCTCCGGTAAATCCACGTCCGCAAAGTGGTACATGAAAAGAGAATCAGCGGGGATGCCTTCCACCGGCACCTTGTGGATGGCACTATGATCGTCTACCGTGTATTTCAGATAGGATAGGCCGCTGACAGTGGCCACGGTGTGGTAGAGCCCCCTATCCCGCTGCTTATCGTTGTACACCTCGATGACTACTGCGCCAATGGGTGCATGAGGGAGGAGAGCGAATCCTGCACAAGCAGTGTCAGAACTTCAGCTAGTGGGCAGTTGAGAGCAGCGTGCTCTGAGTCATGGTGGAGTCGACACCCATAACCTGACGCTCTTTTGATGGTTGAGGTGCTTTGGTTTTCGGCTCAAAACAGTCAGCTTGCTTGTGAGAGTGCCCCTTCCTTTACACAGCAGAAAGGCAGGATCACAAAGCAGCCACCTCAACACAACACTCCAACATAAAGCCAATCACTCATGAGGCAGATGACTTCTTGCATGTCATGATTCACAAGCATTCAAACAGCCGAACTGAGATGTCTAGGTTGACACGGCAGCTTCTCTAGTGCTCAGTCACAGGGTCGTCCTGTGCTGACCAAATGGAGAAGCCAGCTTGAAATAAAAGTTGGCCAACGAAATCAGGGACCAGCTGCTTTGCTCCTAACTGGAACACTCGACATTCCAGACATACACCTTGCTTTGAAGCAGGCACAGAAGGTTCAGGCGGCTCACTTTCCAAAGAGATTCTACCTCTCCTTTCACAAGCGAAGGGTTTCCGTACCCTCACCTGCACCATGGGTACCAAACACAATGGACGCATTCCGCACCGCAGAGATCTGCTCAGACCAGCTCATTGTTGCGCTATGAATGGTGTAGGGTATATGGAGGGCCCTTGCCAGCTGGGCCCAGTTGTTGATCCTCCGGTTCGCTTCCCGCTTGAGATAAACTAGGGTCGGCCGCTCTGGTAGACGCGGATGCTGTTGTGGGAGCCCAAAATGCGCCGCAATGAAATCACCATACTCCGTCACAGAAGGGTTGTAAGTGGCCGTCGTGTGACTGCCGCAACCCCACTTGTAAGAAGTGCGCATGAGGGTAAGCTCCTGAAAACACTTGCGGTCAGAGAAATGTCTCCAATCAGCAGTCTCCGACTGCTTGAAAGCATAGTACAACTCCGGCAAGCCGCGTTCTGTCAGAGAGGGCATGTCGAACTTGTCGATTATTGCGATTCGCCGGCCAGAACAATTCCCCCAACCTCGAAGTCGCATGTTTTGAAAGAGGGGATAAATATCCATGGCGCTGTCCTCAAACAGGTTTTTGGTGCGGGATCGATCCAGCAAAATGGTAGGCATTTTGTCAAAGCCCTCCTTTCCCGGCACTACCCCCTCCTCAGCGGATAAAATTTTGATTCGGTTTCCGGCAGACCCGCTCTCTAGCTGGCAGCCTTTTGTTGGAGGGTTTGGAATGTGGCAATCGCTGGCAACTTCGACCAGCCACTTGTCCTGGACGTATCCCGTCGCACTCTGGTTCCTTGAGAAGCAAGCATTGCTAAACACAAAAGAGCAGTGCTCTTCATTGTCACACTGCAACCCTTCTCGATCAGTTGGCCCATAACCGGGCGTGTTCCAGGGCAGGGTTTCGCAAGCTGCACTGCGGTTATCCAGCTGGAGAAGGCCCCACCTCAAAGCATGTTCGCTTTTTTGTTTCCCTGAAATTGTCGAATCGAAGAGTAAGTCAATGTACACGCCACCAGCTGAATCATTGCTTCTTAGGCTTGCTAGGCCCAGCGGTATTGCCAGGCCCAGGGCGGCCACCAAGAAGATCCAGAAAGTCTGATTATAGACACGTGGTACGCGATCCATCTGCCTGATTAGCACCTGCTGCTCCGCTTAGGGCCCCCCGGCCGGGACCCCTTTGTTGATTTCCTGAGGTTGCAATGCACCATATTCACTTCAACAGCTCGCGCTACCTCGAAGGTGCGTTCACTCTTTAGGTCGCCTTCTTAATGGTTACAATGTCAGAACTTGACAGAGTAAACTTCGTGCAGCACCAGTGCTGCGGAGGGGCATTGCCATTTGCAACCCAATTGAGAAGAAGATGGATCGAGTTTCTCAATAATAGTGATAGCTGATGGAGCCAACCGTAGTGGTATTCGCCTCGAGGATTACTGCTTTTCCAGCCCAGCTAGCTGGCAGCTTGCAACTTGCAAGTCGCGACTCCATTATGCAGTGACGCACTGGTGGTCAGTATTATCAACGGTGGCACTGGTTAACCGTACCTATCCAATGAAGATGAACAGTCGGCTGAGCTCGGCTCCATACCGGTAACTCTCGTGTGACCTTAAATGGGCGTGTGACCTATAAGATACGTGTACTTACCCGGGGACTTAAACTAGAAGACATAACGCAAATAATCCACCCGCTCTGCACCCCAACCCACTCTAACCACCATACTAACCCCACTCGTCCCCCAGGTGCCTATGGGTCACACGGCTCTTAGGTCACACGAGAGCTATCGGATCGAGTCTCGGCTCCCCCATGAACGAACCGTATAGATTCATGGACCCGGCGGTCTACGATCGACACCGTACACGTGGTCATTGTGACACGCGTCCAAGTCAAAATGCCGGAAGTCGGATTCATGTCATGTCGCATACTTATTACTGGGGGAGCCAGTCACAGTGGGAGTCAGTGGACGCCAGTAAGTTGTGTTGTCATCATTTCGCCGACTCGTACGGTCATACGTCAGAACATATGTTCCAGCTTCCGAAGTCCAACCACCCCAAAAATAGCCTGGTGACGGTCCGAGAGTCCGAGTCGGACCCGGGACCGGAGTCCGGACTTGACTCCACTGAGGCAAAACGTACAAAACTGGTGAACTCCTTTCGAAAGTTCGGACGCGGACGGTCTTTGTCCATTGTTTTGGGTAGTACCTACTAGGTACTACCGGCGGGATTGGTATTGGTGGACGGTTTGCACCGTTTAATACGAGTACGGTAGCAGCCGGGCAGTCTCTGTGACATTAGGGTTAAGTCACAAAGTACTGATGGAGTGTTAGGGTTACGCCACTTACTGTGACGGTTTGTTAGGGTCACGTCACTTCCCTGTGACTGCTCTCAGATTAGGGTTCCACTAACGGCTGAGCACTTAGTCCTAGGATTTTGGTTTGGTTAGGACCACCCGGTTGGCAGGACGATGAAAAATACCGCAAGTTTTGTCGACCTGACCGACGACAGGAACCGTCCGCGTCCGAACTTTCGAAAGGAGTTCATGCAAGTTTTGTGCCTCTTGCTCCACTGAGTCCGGCCACTGGTGTTGTTGGATCAGACCGTCGTACGGGGCAACTTTGCGTGCGGAAGCTACCCCCCGGCAACAACGCTCAGATCAGTAGCGCAGGCCGAAAAGTTGGGCAAAACAACACCTTGACTCGTGAGTTCTCGGCGATCAGGCTGCTCTTGAGAACACCCGCAGCCCGCTCTGAGCCCCTGAGTTGGGCAGAGGTCGGGACCGATCAATGCCGGTGAAAGTATGCCCGGCCAAGACTGCTGGAGAAGTCAAGTTGAAGTTCATGAGGTACGTGGAGTGAAGGAAGGAAGGAATCCGGATCACGCAAACCTGGTGTAGATAGAACACAAGATGGTGTAGATAATCCATACCAACTCGGGACCAACTCAAGACCAACTCTCAACCAGCGTATCAGTGTACGTCTTGAGGTAAAAGGTCGCTAGTAATGAAGCAGAGCTCGGACAGGCTTGGAAGCTGCAAATCCTCCCTGTAATTGAACAGGCTGCTGGGACATGAACCCATGTACTGGATGAGCTTGGCCCCGCGGCCATGTGTAACCCTTGCAGTCGATCACTGTTCCGTCTGGGTATGAAAAGCAGCCTGTCCGACCCTATACAGCTTGTCGATAGTCCGCTTCTCCGTCCCACCTCCCTTCATTGACATCAGGGCTCTCTCCATTCGCCCTCTAAGAGCCTTCGACCGCAAGATTGCTATTTCCTCAAATCTCCAGCATGAAGCCGTGGTCGTCCACTGCAGCTCATGTGGGCTTCCTGACCCTCTTCGTCCTTTGCTTGGGCACCGGCCCCCTTGCCCATGCCCAGGACACTTGCGCCAGCAGTCCCCACACCGCATCCATTACTTGCACCAGGGACTGCAGCATGGAGTCTAACACCGGTAATCTGCTGGTGCAAAACGACTTTCTATCTGCAGCTGCAGGAACACTACAGCGGCAAGGGGGCACTTTTCCGCAGTGTTGCTCCGACTGTGCTGCCGCTGCCCCGTCTGAGTGTGTCCTCTGGAATATCGAAGCCGGTAGTGGCTTCGGAGATAACGCACAGACCGCCATTGGGGACTGTTATTTTTGACGGATGCCACCTGCGCATCTGGAGCCACGGTACTCAGCAACTATCCGCCGGGAATGTATGGCGGACGCCCCTGCCCAATGACAGTGACTCAAGATTCGCATTGCAATGTGGGGGGGATTAAAATCTGACTTCCATGGTACGCCAACCCCAAAACTGTTTGGCCGCAAAGTTGATTGTTGCTATCCATGAGCAGAGTGAAGGAGCAGACTTGAGTTGCATTGGGCCACCTGATGCTTTTCAAAAGCAGGGTCAAAAATGGAGCAGTTATGCTCCTTGCTTGTTGCGTGCCCGATCTGTGTAGGCTAATGCACTAGAAAGAGTGCGCCTACTAACTGTGGAAGCAATTGTGGGTAACCCCTTTGACAGCTTTTCAGAGTAAGGCCCGCTTATAAATCATGTTGAAGTAACCACCATCACAACACTACCTCATCCTGTGTCAGGGCAAAGCAAGAAGAGTTCTCATAAAGCAAGGGGTGTGGTCCTTTGCAGGCATTGCTGGCTTTTGGTATGCCTTCTTGACTGACATCGGTCTTCAGGTGAGAGCTCCATTCCTTTGAAAGTCCTGGCCTGCCATGATTCTCGCAAAGTCTATTCCCTAGCATCTATGATAATGATGAGGTCACGGCAAGCTTTGCGATGATGGCCCAATTGACGTCCACAACTCCAGTGAAGGTATTCTTGAAGGTACATACATGTGCAGGCATAAGCCGAATCTGCAGTGGTGTTGTTTCATGGGTTCTAAACATGCCTACGGACAGTAGTTACCGCCAGGCTACGCCCCCCTCTCATAGCAGACAAAGTCCCATAGCAATCACCATGGTCTTTATGGGAAGCTGTCTTGAGTTCCTTTCCAAGATAAAGCCCCTAGGTTCACAAGCCTTAGCAAAGCAGCTGAAAGCCCTCTTGACTACTTTTCGAACGCAGGGTCTTTAATCAACAATTGACTGCACCCATCTTTGCAGATCAATGCCAAGCTAGTCGGACCGATCGCCGAGTGCCCTGAGAAGATGACTTGGCTGGAGGAAGTGGGTTCAATGCAGATCTCTTTACTCCAATCGAACTCATACCATCCACGTCTCCTGAAAGTCACGACTGCCTGCAAAGCTTTGAACTGAAGTTCAGTGTAGTGACAAATGTGCTCCGAGCTTCCAAACTCCATATAACCCGTCCGGCCAAGTGGAATTCACTTGAGGAGCCTCCCTTTTCCGTGTCAGATGCACAAAGTGGGCTTATTGGGAATCATATGCAGCAACGCTTTCATGTTTGTGTAAATGATGCTTGCTTGTCCCAAGCCTTTCCTTATGTTGATCGGGACCACTACGATGCAGATTGCGGTGGTCTGGATCGACGAATCTGGCAAGAAGCGTTCATTGGCGGTCAAGATCGACCAAGAAGCAAACTGGTACGAACAAGACGTCTTCCAGTTCGAGAGTGATGAACAGAGCGTCGAAGCTCCAGCACCGGTGAGAGTTTTGGAAACTCTGTCGCTTTTCCCGATTGCTTGATATTCTGCCTGGCCATTATCAACTTTACTCATGGCAACTTCGGTCCCTTCGTTCTAATGACGTACGTCTAAATAAAGGCAGTGAAAGCTTCTTTCTTCGGGTGGCAGGTGGGCCTATTCTGTCCTTCACATGAATCGTCTGACTTATCTGGCTGATAGCAAAATGTGATCTTGCTTCCAGGTACGAAAGTGAGTTGGCTGAAGGTCACAATACATCAGTGAAACAAATATGCAGCTGCCAGCCTGTTGAGTCATGCAACGCACAACAGATTGTTGACACCAGTATCGTAAGTAGACTGGGTCCTTCAACCCCACTCTTGTTGCATCACCGTGGTTCCGGCTCTCCACTGATAAATGAGCCAATGCCCGTGACTGAGCCTTTACCACTTGAGGAACAGTTTCCCGATTGTCAAATGAGTTCTTGCAATATGAAACTCACGACGGCTGAAGCCGTTTGAAGTTACCTCTTGCAGGCCACCAAGGACGCGAGCTCCATCACGCGCGAACCCGACGTCGCTTGGATGGCTGACGACGGCTCTGCTTCCGTTTTAAGGGTGCCCAACGAGTGGAACACGTCAGTGTTGTCCGTTCCTGACGTCATCATGGTGCACATCTCGAGCGACGTTGATGAGTGGATCCAAGGCTCAGCTGACCCTCTGGGAGCTTACGGGAAGTACCTGGATATGTCCATCAAATACGTGAGCTCCGCAACTAGTCATCAGATTACCTGTGGTTCATCACGCTTTATTCGCAAACCCTTCCCTCGAATGATTACGCTAGTTGGTCTGGCCTTGGGTAGGGGCACAGAGGGGCCTGTCGCATCTTGCTTCTAGAGCAGAACGAATTCTCTGGAAAACCGTACCTGACAAGCAGGTTCCACCGCCACGGTGTCTATCGAGTGCTTGGTGGAACCTGACATGGCAGGTGCTCTAGACCACAAATCACCGGGTGTTTAAAAACAAAAACCGTGGCACGAAAGCCTTGAAAGTTTCATCTCATCTTCAGGAACCCACTTTCTCTCACAGGTGCGTCCCCTTTATCCATCCGTGCACGGCATCATCGGCCAAATGCTGCAGCCCAACGCATACGAGATCAAGATGGCCATCGAAACGAGCAACAAAGAGAAGCGGGAGCGCGTCGACGGCGACGATGATCTGTACGAGGTGGCCGGGCTGGCTGACACCGAGTGCCACTTCTGCCGCTTCGACCAGGGTGAGTGTCAACCAGCTGACCATGATGACGCCTCCATTTGAGGTCGACAGCTGTTTTTCGCGCATTTGAACGCATGTGGCGTATACGAGCCGCAGTTGTCGCTCGAGTATCTTACCAGAGGATTACATGAGGGCTCCTCCAACCCCCACACTCACAAGCAGCTACGTCCGGGGGACAAAACCAGCCCAACCGCTCAGCCTCCCATCATTCAAGCCTCGCTTTCTATTGAGGACTTTGGAACAGTCTTACGGGACTTTCAGACTTCAGAAGCAACCACGGCTTGACAAGGAAATCTTTTGCATCAAAAGCCTTCTCGTTCAACGGATTCAATATCTGCAGCCCGCTTTGAACGTTCAAGTCCCGAAAGGCTTCCGCTGACCGATTCTGCTGCCCAAGTCGTTACATTAGTGGTGGTCTTGGTTCATAACGAACGGCTCATGAGGGGCCTGAAGGTCACATCAGTTCATGGACTGCCTCGCTGCTTACAGTTCACAGGCCTTTGAGAGTCGATCAGTGCATAGGCAGACTCTTCTCTCGAGCGGACTGGTTCGCGCTGCTTCCGTCCCCTCATGATTTATTCTTTTTACTGTAAAGTATTTTGCTGTGTGGAACTCAGCCCTCGTGTTCGCTCCTCCCCCTCGTCCCAATCCTGTTGCACGTGGATTTGCCTCAACAACACATTCCCAGCTGCCGCAGAAACTACTGTAAGAATACTCCGATTACGTTTTCAGGTGCCTCGGAGAAGTCTTTGGCAGAAAGCGCATTCTGAAAAGTGCCGTTGCTAGCCCGGAACGATGTGACGAAAAATAAGAGCGGCCTCATATCGGGCCCAGTTCGATTCTGGCCAACCAATCATGCTTGGACCCCCTTGGATTCATAGCACGTCTCCGCATAGGCGCCGGGTGTATTACTAGGACGCATGATTCCTCTTTATGCTGCATGCAGCTGAAGTAGGTCCTCGTCTGTTCCCCTTGCTTCATTCGGTTGCTTCACTCCTTCGGTTGATTCGAGGGGATTACGTAACACGGCAACAACAAGACAAAAAGATTCTGCAGATGCAAGAGGCATGTGGAGGAGGATGAGAGGAAATCGTTGCAGGTTATTTACGTGTGGACTGTAAAGAAAAGTGCAGCGTCACGGACTCGATTAGCTGGCAGGTCATTTGTTGATCGAACTCACTGACTCTAAGTCCAAGCGTAGCGACAATCGCGTAGTTTATCGATAACACTGCATGAGAGCTCCGTGACATACTTAAAAGTTAAAACCGGTCAAGATCGCCGACTGCCAGGGAACTAACTGTGTCATTTCGAGCTGTGAGCTGCGCCGAGCCAAAGGCAATACTAATCAATGGATGATTTAAGCAACCGAGTAATGCTTACAACATGGCTCTTCGACATGATTGCAGCATAACAATAGGGCATGCCATAATGCATACAACAGACCGTATTCGACTTCAAGCTGATCGGTTGTTATATATGCGTTTTGATGCGCAACTTGCTTGGCAAGCCTGACATGATGTACGTATTTCACAGGGCGAAATGGCTTTTCCCCGGGGCCAGTCCCCGGAGCCTCCCTGGACTCACTCCGGGGAGCAGCCAGGGAAGCGTACTCCCCGGGGTGCGACCGGACTCCGGGGAACCGGTCCCCGGGGTCGAGGGGCCGGGGACACCCCGTGCTGTCAGTCCCCGGCCTGTCCCCAAGTCCGGGGACCTGCTCCCCGCCCTGTCCGAGACCCCGGGGACGGCGACTCCGGGGAGCGACTCAGGGGAAGCCGTCCACGGAGTCTGGGCTCTGTGTCCCCGGACATGCGACTGGTCCGGGGACAGCCACACCGGGGACGAGACTCGGGGAGCGACTTTTTGACGTCATTGCGGGCCTTCGCCCGTGGCAGCAAGCAGGCAAAGATGCTAAAGGGATAGATCAAGCTAGAGGCCAGCCGAGATTCAGCACAAGAGTGCAACAGGGAATCCTCACTGAGTTGCTAATTATATATATCGGATACGAAGCAGGACTTGAAACAATTATCAAGCACAGAAAAGGAAAGAAGCATACTGTAGACGGAAAACGAAACGGACGGATCAGAAATTTTGGAATGGTTGATCGACAAGTCTGCAATTCCGGCCGCATCATTCTGCTAAAGCGCATGCTATATATATAACCGTGATGCAATCGTACGCGGCATGGACTGGTTCAATCAGGCATGCAATCTGAGCGGGGACAAGGAGAATCGGTACCGGACGGAAGCTAAGGCTAGGGGCTGTTGGAACCGTGAACAGTGACGTCAGCTTTAGGTTGCTACGTCTTCGTGTCTACATCGGCCGTTCAAATGTCACCTACACAGCATCCGACGGCAAAAGTTGCGTTTGTGAATCCTAGCACTCCGTATTTAGCAATGTGCATATCAGCCGATAACCACTCCCACAGGATCTATCGATCTAACGCTTCAGAACCAGAGAGGTGTAACTTTGGGTTGAGAAACCGCGAATCTAACAGGCCCCAGCCTTAGCTTCCGTCCGGTACCGATTCTCTTTGTCCCTGCTCAATCTGTAAAACTTCCGCGTCCACACTAACAATGCGGTGATTGACAAAACATCATCAGCGGCCAAAAAAACGGACAAACCCAGTGTCGTGCAGGCCTGGCCCGAGCCTAACGACCGCATGTTCGGAAAGATAAACCTGCGATCCAGTCGAGGTGTTTGGAATCATACAAGTTAACAAATCTACCAGAGCACGGCAAACTTGCAAGCGTCTTAGCCGACTGGAGGTGTTGCAAGAAGAAAGGACTCAGTCAAGTTTTCCTGACGCTCCGACACAAGAATTTAGACGCTTTTGTCACACCGACAGGGAAAATGCATGAGGGATTCCAAACCTTACGTTTGGGCAAGGCTAAAGACCACGACCTTTACGTCAGAGATGCGACTCGATTGAGCAGTGAAACCATCACGCTTGCAAGCCCAAACACTGCAGGCGATCCGTGGTCTCCCTAGTCCAGCATGCAAGTGCGCATACTTTTCCATGGCCGCAAACGGCGACATGCTCCCAAACCGCCCTTCTTCCGCTTCTTGGACCCCTTCCCGGGACCGCCCGATCTGAGGGCTCTCCTTCCTTTGCAAAGGCGGCGAATCCTCATCTGGCATCCTTGCGCTGGGCGGCCTTTCCTTCTGGTCGATCCGGCCTCTTCTGCTTCCCTTTATAGGCGGAATCCCATCTTCGGCTTTACGCCAAGCACGCCTTTGTCGCCGTCTGAGTCCTGGCCGGGAACCCTCAACGACCTTTCGATTCCAAAAAATGTTTGGTGTCCGATTTGCGTCAGTGGACACATGATGTGTGCCATGGACGCTAGATTGTACAATACCGATCCGATCGTCGTACAAAAGCTTAAATTAAAGGCGCGGATCCTTGGATTGCTCATGCAAAGTCCGAAATATGTTCCGATCGCTGCCGGATGCACAAAGGGCGCGGTGCAAAACGAGAAGCTGAAATTCAAAATGATTTAAGCAATGTCA